CATAGATTTCCATCTTACTAGCCATTTTCATGTACTGCATATATAATGCACCACTTTGCTAAACAGAAAATGAAATAAAATATAAAATGAAATATTTTTTTTATAAAAGCTTGTAATTTAGTTGGAGAATATTCTAGATCACAGCATAAACAGCCATGTCACCGTGACCCCCGGCAACCGAGCCTCCCTCCCCCCCCCCCCCCCACTACCGATACAACAACCAAGCGAACACAACACAAAGCGATGATATACTGTTACAATATCTACCGTGTCCTTATACAGAGTTAGGTCGTCTCCCTTGGGTGTAAGATTTAACTCAACTCTTACAAGTGTGATCTACGCAAACCAAAAAAAAAAAAGAAATAATAATAAAATAAATAAATACAACATTAACTTTTATCCACTCACTCAAAACAAATGCACGCGTGTTCATTTTATTACTCTCGTACAAAGGCCGCTGCATTTTTTTCTCTCTCTCCGTCGGCCGTCGTGGCAAACGATAACGCACTCACACGAGAGGTCAAGGTCGATAGACGGGCAACCGATGGGATTAGGTTTATGTAAGGTCATCTGTTGGTCGATAAAAGACTCATTCGATATGTGGGCAGACGTGGCTTTCATAGGAGTTCAACTAAATCCTTTACATTTCCTGTACATCAATCGACCAAAAGCATATATATGTATATATATATATATATATATATATATATATATATATATATATATATATATATATATATATATATATATATATATATATATGGCTTTTTGAATATAATAATATATACATTTATGCACATGTAAAGTTCGCAAAAACGCGCAACAGAGAAATACACCAAAGCACGCACACTCATTATACTTATAAACTTGCATTTGGTCACTTTTTGCGGAAAGATGTTTTATTGTTCTAGATTTGACAAGTGGTCATTCTTTGCTAATGTCTTTGAATTATCGTTTTTAAATAAATTTATATGCGCACTTACGCACTTTCTGTACGCCGCCTTCGGTTGCGCATTTTTCAATTGCGCACATTTTCTGGTCATATATATATATATATATATATATATATATATATATATATATATATATATATATATATATATATATATATGTATGAACTTTACTTAGGTCATGAACGTGACTCATGGCGAATGTGTATTGCTGTTGTTTTTATTGATTATGCGATTGTTCGCAAAAGCCATGATGAGCAGTGGATTAATAGCTCTTTAACGACACGCTGTTATTATCTAGTTTTGTTAATGGCAATAGATGATTATTTATAATAATTAGTAATAAAATACTGCGCTAATGGCTCACAACTTAATGTTTATTAGAAAGAAAAAAACAATATCAGCTATTTATCTAATTCCCAGAGTTGATTTATATTCAATTTTTTCGGATGTTTTTCTTTAGATTGTGGCTTGATAAAGTTTTCTGGTTATTAAAAAAAAAATAATTCGAGAGAAACAAACAAGGACTTTTCCGCTTCGTATAAAACTAAGCGGGGCTTCAAACTGAATGAAGTCATACAATGTTTGATTTTACCAAGCAGAAGACCCCGTCGTTTTCAGTTATAGTCATATTGACTAAAAATCCGTTTTTTTTTTTTTTTTTTTTTTTTACCCCGGGATAAAAAGTCCCAGGATAAAAAAGAAGTCACTTAAGCGTAAGTCCATCAAAACATTGTCGCAGAATAATTTAGTCATTAAAAATTGTAATAGAAATCGACGGAGTATTTGACCAAAATATTTAACATAACGACTACGGCCAATTTAATTATTAAAGTACTCGGCTTGCATTAATGGAAAAATCTGGCAATCGAGTGGATGTAAACAAAAAAAATCCGGACCAAATTTCCGTAAGTCGAGTAGAACCGGAGGCAGGTCGGAGCGGAGAATGATTCATATGACTAGCAGAAGTGAGTCATAACGAGTAGAGTGAGAAAATAATAGCCCTACGCCTGCTCGTCATATTATGAGATTAGTCGTTTGATCGGCGCCTCGTCTGCCGGCAGGTCCGGTTCACTTGGGCAATTTGACCGGCAGCCGGCGATCTAGGGGATGATGTATTGATCTTTACTTTGTTGACCCTAGCTCGGAGCTGGGTACAGTCACACACCACCACACACCACCACACACTACCACACACCACCACACATACCACACTATATCATATGACCACACCACACCACACGACACAATCACACGACTAAACACCACACAGCACCACACCAAATCACATTACCACAAACACTACTCATTCTACAAAATCACACCAAAATTCAATACTACCGCAACATACTAACACGCTACACAATCACACCAACAACCACACCACATCACACAACCGCACCACAATAACACACTTCACAATCACACCACACATCACACAATCACATCACATTACACAACCACACCCCCCACAACCCTAACACTAAATACACCACACATCCACTCGACAAAACAGCCACACAGTCCTAGAACTCTATAACCATACATCAACATAACCACACCACCGCTTTACACAACCTACAGCCACAGTACACATGCACATATTTCAGCCACATAAATGCAACATATCAAAGTACTACCACATAGCCACACCAACCCAAAACACATACTGCTGCATTGCATACTTCTAATCCCCTATATTCAGGTTTTTTTTTAAATTTTCAGCTGGGGGAGGAAAGTGGAGGGGGGGGGGGGGGGGGGGTGAGGTCAGTTATAAGAATGGTTAACGTTAAACACTAAATTTTGTTTAGATTTCTTTCTTTTGGATTACGGGTGGGGCGATTATCAAATGTGTAGATGCGGTGGACGTGCCCTGAAAAACTTGCCTGAAAGAAACCGAACAACCCACATGAATTACCACCACACCTGGTGCCATTTCACAACCCAAAAGTCGATCCAAACCCACACAACAACAAAAATAACAAAATAAACAACAGCAGCCTACTTTCCATTCTTGCATTACATCCACGCAATTCAATATCCGCAGAAAAATATAGTTCCCAATTTACCAATCTTTACTTTATCCTGTTTAAATCTAAGCGACAAAATAAAACTCATTTCAAAATATTTTCTTTTTTTTTATAGCACCAATCAATAGTCACCACTATTTTTAAACACCTCTAATCCTATGCGTAATGTAATGGACTTTACCGAATTAACAATATCTAAAGTTTTGTTTTGCCTCGCGATTTCTCAACTATCGTAAGTATTTCACCTGCGCTTCTTAAGCGCTCAAAGTAAGCTAATAGTATGTTTGACGGTTCAATACGAAGCAGGGCTAAAAATAACACACATCAATACGTACGAGAAACTAGTAAAATAGTCGGGTTCGTACTCACATACATGTATTTACTCGATGTAGTTTGTTGGCGATAATTGGGACGAAATAACGGGTTACACAAAAACTGAAAGTCAAATCAGTGTAATTTACAGCGGAACAAACATACATAGATCTATATACACAGAGAGAGGTTTAAACAAGCAGACATACTTAGATAGACATGCGTTCGTACACGTACTCAAACATACACTCTCTATGTTTATGGAAATATTATTAAAATGGATGTGAATATATTTATGTGAATATATATATATATATATATATATATATATATATATATATATATATATATATATATATATAGAGAGAGAGAGAGAGAGAGAGAGAGAGAGAGAGTTTCTACCAGGCATCTCTTCGGGGGGGGGGGGGGGGGAGGGACGTAGTCCCCCCAATAAAAGTCTACCGCCCCCCCCCCCCCACGAACAAAATGGAATTTATATAGAAAATATATACTTTTAACCACCCCCCCCCCCCCCGAAAATTTTAGTCCACACCCCCGAAAGTGTCAAGTGCCCCCCCCCCCCCCGGAGAAAAAAGTCTGGAAGAAACACTGTATATTTATATACGACAAGTTGATGTTTTTGACGTAGAAATATCGACGATCAATATATATTTATTTCGCATACGTAATTGAAAACGGTCACGTGGTTAGTTTAGCCTAAGATGGCGGACGTTGAAGGCGGGAAACAGGGTAAAGTACACCGTGGGCGGGCGGCTGAAGCAGACGGCGTCACGGCGGGACGTCTGCGGGATGTTTCAATACAGTAGGACTAACTGACGTCAACGGATGGCATTGGTTCGTCTGGCACCGACCGACTGACCTGTCAGGCGTCTCTCTAGTCCGAGGAATCAGGTTCTCAGCCCTGATTCTTGACATTAGACATACAACGTGAATCATCCGCAGTAAAAAAAAAAGAATCCTATCTTTACCACCTCTCCCCCCCCCCTCACCCCCCCCCCCCCCCCCCGAAAAAAAATCCAAAATCCAAACAGAAAAAAAACATAATCCGGGACAATTACTCTTCATTATGCCTTTAAAAAAATTATTAAATTATATTTACCACAAAAAGTATCCTGTGTACACTACATTATGCTTTTAAAACACTTATCAATAAACTATATTTAGTACTAAAAGAAAACAAGTATACACTACATGATGTTTTTTAAAACTCATAATTACACTCTTATCAAGTTTATCATACCAAAATAATGTTTAAATCAATGTACTAGTTTCATATGTAAAGACTTTTTCTCATTTCGTTTATATCACCAAATATATTTTACAATACTTTCACAATACTTCTACTTATGGATGCCTTCTAATACTTGCACTGCTCAAAGTCATTTCCCAATGCTCACACTTATAATCCTCATGTTTCTAGTCAATCAACGGTCAAACTAAGTTTAAGATGTAGAATATCAAATTATTGCAAGCAAAAAAAAAATATGTAAAAATAGTAAGATTTGATATAAATAAGAATAGTAAGATTTGATATAAATATAAAAAATGGCAGTTGGATTGACAAACGTAACATATAAAGGAGGGATAAAATTTTACAGGAGAGTAGAGTCCCTTGTGTGGGGTTCAAAGGTCACCATCCACTGTGTGTGTGTGTGTTGGGTGAGTACGTCGGGTTGACCCTCCAGAATTATTTGTTACCAAACAGTTGCATCTGGGGAGGATGGGAAAAATAGAGTTTTAATTTATAGGAAACAAAATAAATGGGTACAAAATAGTTTTAATTTATAGCAGATAAACAACATAAATGAGTATATTACAAAAAAAATTAGAGTTTTATTTTATAGCAACAAAATAAATGTGTAGAAAAAATAGTTTTAATTTATAAAAGATAAACAAAATAAAACGTGTACACAACAAAAAAATATTTTTATTTATAAATGTGTACATGAGAAAAAAAGTATAGTCTTTTATATAAACATAAATAAATAATATATATATTATATATAATAATAAATAAATAAATAACTTCTACATAAGCGAGAAATATAGAGCGAAGGTGAGTTGTTTATTCCAGGACAGGAGAAGAATTGTCCTGTTTGTCATGGCAACAAGTAAAATGAAAGGAGTCGGAAATTAAAGTATTGTTTTATCCACAGTTGGGTCACAGCCACAGGTAGCCTACAATATGATCTTGGTCGCAGGTAGACTTACCATTTACCTTAGGTCATCGTAAAATAAAGTTAAAAAGGAAAGTTTCCCAACAATTTGACCAAGGTTATACGTAGGCTACACATGACCAAGTTTACACGTAGGCTACAAGTATCAACGTAAACTGCCGCCATAGCCTAACCATAACCAGACGTTTGACAAGATCAGTCTCTACATTTGTCTAAAAACTAGGACGAACGTTATCTTTGTCAGCCATCACCTAGACCCGGACATTTAAGAAAATTACGTGGAAGCAACACGACACATGGCTATTTTATGGAGCTTTATTTTGCTAAACATAAAACGTGTAAAAAATTAAATTATTTTTAAAAAGCTGAAATTTTTTCTCTAAAGTTAGAACTGTTGTTGAAAAGTAAATTGGCTTTCACATTTTTAAACAGTTGAAAAATAGTTTTCATTATCCTTATTATTATATTAATGATGGAACAGTTGAAAAACTGATTTTTATCTTTAAAGATGGAACTATTGTTGTTTTAAAGATTAAAGTTGTTGAAATTTTTTTTTTTTAAATTAAAAGTTGGAACTATTGATAAAAACATTTTATTTTTAAAGATGGAACTGTTGAAAAGAATTTTTGATTGGTCCTAGAGGCTAAAAATAAAATAAAACGTTGGATGTCGATTTAAAACAGAATGGTTGGAATGAGAAACAAAATGGATATCTCTATTTTTATGTACCCTGGTCTAGGTTAGGGGCTGCTCAAAATGGATGAGTTATTTTGATAATCTGTTTTTTCTATTTGAAGGTGGATGCCAACTTTATAAATCAGGTAAGAAAGATCACCATCTTATGGTTCTAATGAAACAAAAATGACCCAGCTTATGGTTGATTGACCAAAAATGATCATTTTATAAGTTAGGTGCGACAAATTACCACATAAAAATTATGGTTCTATAAAAAGTTGACTAAAACATCGAATAATTCCCAAATAGTTCATGACAAAAATAAATAGACAAGATCCTGCCTTTTATATTATTTCAAGATTTTGAAAATTTAATACATAATTTTATTTACTTTATTATAAATAAACCGGGAGTGATCTCCCCTAAACTTTCTCGAATATTCTTATATAAAACAACAGGGGATGGGAACTCGGGCTATAGACATGATTTTTAATCAATTTTAAATACATAAAGTTTTAAAAATAGAATAAAATCTCGTAGACAAAAGAAGTGCACACCAAGTGAACGCCAAATAAAAGTGCATAATAGTGCGCAATATTATTAGTACTTTAAAAATTTACATTAGTTTTTTCAGAATACGGACAGAATTGCAAAGCCCCAGTTTTTTCAGACTGGATTACACATAAAACCTTTTAATTTTGATAAATCTGGATTGATAATTTTTGCCCGATTAAAATAAGTCCTCTATACTCCGGATGTGATGAAGGACAGGAGTAAAACGGTGAAAACGGTCAAAATTTGATGTTATTTTTGTGCACGATTACAATACTTTCTCTATACTTCGTATATACGAGAAAGTAAAAAGAAAGCAGAAAAGAAACGAAAAAGGTAGACTAACAGAATTATTTCACTATTCGAATTCCGGTTTGCCATTTTATTTTACCAAAAAAGACAACCGAACATCTATTTTAGCCGTAACCATGGCGATGCGTCACAGTATCAGAGGCTGATGAAAGGACAGGTAAGGCAGGTAACTGCTGACAGGCACGCAATGGACGCTGGGATGACGGGACTTGTAGACATGGGTATTATGGAGTCAAGTTAATTAGGTTAGGGGGGATTTGTGGGGGTGGGGGCTAATTGCTTGTATAATGTCAAATTACAGGTTTCCAGGGGAGGGGGGGGTGTAACCCTTTGACTCTTTTATGTGAGTCTGATGGGTACCTGACTCACGTTAAGGAAAGTAAATTCATAGTGCTTACCACACAATCTATATGTCGTGGTCAAGAAACAAGTGAACTATTTAATCTGCTTAGTTGAATCTTTAGGTATGATAGGGTAGTATTTACTTTCTCTATCAAAATTGGAGATGGTAAAAATCTTCAGAAAAGTGTAGAAATATGTGAGGGAACTGGTGGTTAAAGCTGTTTGGAGGACTCTCATCACATGATCAGTTTTTAGCTTTTAGTATTTGAAATAATTTAACTTAGATTCAGCAGCAAAGCAAGAAAATTACGAAGTGACGAGATATGTATTGGGGGGGGGGGGGGGGGGTCTATGACATGTAAAGTATGGAGCAAAGTATCATTACGAAGGTAGATGAGTTGAGAGTCGTTTGTTTTAGTTTTAAGCTTACATCGTTGGTTTAGTGATGTCTCTCTGCTTACAATTTTGACATGGATCCGCCTGGATTCCTTACATTTTCGCACCCTGCAACCTTACTCCTTACATCATTACCATGTAATGATTACATTCCTCCTAAATATCACGCTCATCACGCAGGTTTTAGCTCTGTTAAAAATTCTATCATAAAAACTCATTGAAAATTTCAATGTTGTCACTTTACTAAACACCAATTTTCTGCCAACATTATGGGAACCCTTGATCATTGAGACATTATTCGTATCCGACGCTCTTTGAAGCAGAACATTCTAATTCCATCTTTGTTGTTTGTTGCGTACAGAGATGAAAGGTGTACGTGTATATAAGGTGCACATTACCAAACATGAAGATTGATTAAGTTATTAGAGAAAATATCACGGGGTTGTGTTGAATAGTTGACAATCTTCACTGTGTCTGGACCAGTGCTTGAACTATAAAATAAGTTTATATACAATAAATTTAACTATGAGTTAAGTTGATGCATGGATACATGTAGCTTTAATTACTAGAGGCTGGAACATTTATTTAAAAAAAAATTAAAACCGAGGCTACATAACTTCTGCACACACTTCCATAGCTAGCTCAGCTGTTTTATTGAATAACTAATTATTGCAATTATATAAAAAAGATAATAGCTTCCTCCATCACAACATTACTTAACCACATAACTACATAACTACCTCCACCAATAAACTACCTCAACCACAACACTACATAATTGCCTCAACCCCGGCACTACACAACTACCTCAACCACTACAATACACAACTATCTCCACCACTACACTACATAACTACCTTTGCCACTACACTACATAACTACCCCTGCCTTTGAAATCACTACACCACACAACCACCTCAACCCACTCCATGGCTTTAACTAAGCTCACCACTAGACACATCTGATATCAATCAAACATAGTTTTTCTAGCATCGATCACTCTAATATCCTCATCACCACACTACCACTCACATAAGCACACACACACACACACACACACACACCCTCACACACACACAACCATCACTGAGATGCCACAACCCCAGCCCCCCCCCCCCCCCCCCCACCCCCCATCCCCAACCCCATTGTGTCCTCTAAGTCTACTTAACCCTCTCCTACCCCAACGCACACTGCTTGTTGATGTCGCTGCGCCCGCCTTTCACCATCACGCCACCGCCACTCAAGGGTTAATCATCTTAGCTGTTCTCGTAGGGACGTAACACTCTGAGCAAACACAACAACAGGCTGAAGAGCGGCACAGCCAGGGTTTGCTACGGTTTCATCTAGCGCTTACAAAGCACGGCCGGTCGTGTTTCTTCAGCTGTTTGCGCAGTGCATTCTTTACTTGAGTTATAAAGTAATTAATGCGATCAGTTTTCGTCACTAAAAAATGTAGTCTTATTTCTTTGGAAAATAGTTTTTTTTTTTACTTCAAACAATGAATCGTATTAAATTTCACGGCATTTATGTTCAAAGCTTGAGAAATTGTATCACTAGAAGATTATTAAAAAATCAAAGACGAATAGGGTAGGTGGAGTAGAATTAATACGTGGCAATGGCGTACTGTATGAATTCGCATGTTGGCCTGCTATTAAAATATGAGACTTGATATTTGATATTTGCCCTACGCGCGAGAAAATATGTAAATATGACTTCTTAACAACATATTATATATTAAATGTAGTAACAAAACCAACGAATTTTTTTTTTATGTATAATAAAGTAGAACCTTGCGTTGGTATTCGAATAAAAGTCTTCTAATTTGTATTTTAGCTTCCACTAACTATGTGTCTAACTATAACTCTGGATTTATCGGTAACTTAAGGTTAAATTTAAGGTTTAACAGAAGGTTAACCTGGATGTAGTTCGCTTGTCACGACTGATGTTGGACGTCACGTAAACGTCACCCTGGCAGATAGAAGGTCGGACATGTTGACACGTCATCACGACGTTAAGAAGGCTGTGGGACCATCAGGCAGACGTCAAGCGTCAAGCTGTTATCGTCTGCTGGGCGGGGGGGGGGGGGGGGGTATCTAATGCTACGTGCGTGTCTACTGGATGGAAGCACGGCAGAACAACGCTATGGCCGGACATTCGTCAGGTCGATGCTGTAGCTGGATACAGGTAAGGCCGACGCAATAGCGGAACACCGAACTGAAAGACGCTATAGCGGAACACCGATCTGAACGACGCTATAGCGGGATATAGAGCAGAACGAAGCTATAGTGGGTTATAGACAAGAATGACGCTATAGCGGAATATAAAGAAGAACGACGCCATAGCGGAATATAGTGCAGAACGACGCTATAGCGGGATATAGAGCAGAACGACGCTATAGCGGGATATAGAGTAGAACGACGCTATAGAGGAATATAACGAAGAAGAACGACGCTATTGCGCAACATAGAGCAGAACGACGCTGCAGTGGGATATAGAACAGAACGACGCTATAGCGGGATACATGTAAGATGGACGTTATAGCGGATCACAAAACATAACAAGGTTGTAACGGTGCACATAACAGAACGACGCTATAGACGGGACGTGGTTCAGAACGGCATCTGGCTCAGGTATAAAAATCCCTATAAGAACAACACTGAAGTCGAACACACCGTCAAAAATAAGCTTAAAGCTTAGAACTGTAAAGGGACAGAAACAAATGTCTGCAGGGACGTAGGTGATAACTCAATGGCTTCCTAGCTGGCCACAAACCTAATCCTAACAACAAATACGCGCTGTGTTTTTTCAATCACTCATTTCTTTTTGTTACATGTATTTCTCTCGTTCAGTTTTCCGTCATCCCTTATAGTCTACACATTGCTGTAAGCTAGCGTTCTTGTGTCGGGGTAAGTTAGCGTTGTTGTGTCGGGGTAAATTAGCGTCGTTGTGTCGGGGTAAGTTAGCGTCGTTGTGTCCGGGTAAAATAGCGTCGTTGTTTCCGGGTAAATTAGCGTCGTTGTGTCGGGGTAAGTTAACGTCGTTATGTCGGAGTTGTAAAAAAAACAGAAACAAGGCGTCTTCACATTTTAGATTCCTAATGAACACTCATTAAATGTACTCAAAAAAGTTGTCTTTTTTTATTACCTACTTTTTTCATAATCAGAGCCAGTAGCGTAGCGAGGGGGGACGGGGGGGGGACGACGACATATGACCCCGGGCGCCGACCTTAGGGGTCGCCAAAATGGGTTGGAAAAATAAATTGAAAGGTTGAGGGGGGTGCAAATCGAAAGTTTGAGGGGGGGGGGGGGGTGCAAATCGAAAGTTTGAGTGGGGGGGGGGTGCAAATCGAAATCTCGAGGGGGGGGGGGGGGGTCGCTACGCCTCTTATCAGAGCAGTAAAAAAAAATTCCTAAATATTACCCCCCCCCCCCTCCCCTAAAGGAATGCTAGTACTAATATTGTTAGTATATAGTAGAGGACATCTTGGAGTTTTCGCTCGAATAAAAACACACAGCGATAGGTTATACTTTATTTCTTAAAGAGCAAGAAATATAAAAGGGTATAATGTTTTGTAATGTATTGATGAAAATGAAGACATAATTGTAACTAGTAAGATAGTAAGGAAAGGGACTACACTCTCTTTTAAAATCAAAGCTTCAATGTACTTAAAGTGATTTGAGTCGCTCAAAATTAAAAAAAAGAATAAACAAATTCAGTTCTTTATGTTACAAGTCATCACACCAACACGTACACAACTGTACACACCAATAAACACTAAAAACCGAAATAATACAGACACACACAAACGAAATGAGACGAGGTACTCACCACGCTTTCTCCAAAAGCTTGAAAACTTGGCCGCCGCCCACTCTGCGAGGGTCCCCCTCCCCCCGTCAGCTCCCCGATGCCCAGGGTGCCGAATATACTCCCTCGGCTGCCCCGTCGATCCAGATCCTAATAGAGAACAAACATCACAAAGTATTAGGTCAACAGAAGGTTACCATATCACACCAGCCTAGAGGGCAGATCTACTTTCTTCTAGGTTAATGAAGCGATCTCAGTCCAAAGTTCAGTTGCTATATTGAAAAAGTAAGCTCTTGATTATGTTATTTTAGTCTTTTGTCTAGCATTACACACGTTTGTTATTTTTTTTTATAATTTCAAAATTTGTTTTAGAAGTACGTTACAATATTTAATACAATAGCATACAGACAATAGAAGGTTGCCATGTGACAACAGACGGTTGCCAGGCGACAACACAGGGTTGCCAGGCGACAACAGATGGTTGCCAGGACACAACAGACGGTTGCCAGGAGACAACGCACGGTTGCCAGGCGACAACGCACGGTTGCCAGGTGACAACTCATGGTTGCTAGTCGACAACTAATAGTTGCCAGGAGACAACAAAAGGTTGCCATGTGACAACGTACGGTTGCCAGGCGACAATACACGGTTGATATGAGACAACAAAGGGTTGCCAGGCATAAAGCGGCAGCAGGCGCTTTGATTGAGCCGAGCAGGAGTTAAGCTTGGTGACAACAGAACAACACGCGATCTTTCTGTGGAATTGTCAGACAACAGGATAACACGCGAACTTTCTGTGGAATTGTCAGCGTACCGTCAAGTTATTCAGACTTTGACAGACTTTGTCATGAGTTCATCCTATTCATAACACAGTCATAACACAGTCACATGACAGTCATAACACAGTTATAACACAGTCATAACACAGTCATAACAAAGTCATAACACAGTAATAACATAGTCATAACACAGTCAAAACACAGTCATAACACAGTCATAACACATTCATAACAAAGTCATAGCACAGTCATAACATAGTCATAACACAGTCATAACACAGTCATAACACAGTCATAACACAGTCATAACTTAGTCATAACATAGTCATAACTTAGTCATAACATAGTCATAGCTTAGTCATTACACAGTCATAAAACAGTTATAAAACAGTCATAACACAGTCATAACACAGTCATAACACAGTCACAACAGTCATAACAGTCATAACACAGTCATAACATAGTCATAACACAGTCATAACACAGTCATAACACAGTCATAACACAGTCATAACATAGTCATAACACAGTCATAACATAGTCATTTTAAGTCGAAAACTTGTAAAGTAACTAATGTCTTGATACAGTTCCACAGAGACCAACCCTGAACAAGAAGAAGCAAGGAACATAGAATTTATGCACGTTGGATTTATTCTCTTCTCTGTATCGCTACTAGACTTTGGATGTGCTGCAGTTGGTAATGTTGACCATGTCGGTAAAACATTTTTACCCAGAAGGGTTTCTTATACGAGAAAATTAAAGACGTATTCACCAGAGCATTTAGTGTTTGGTAGAATCTCTACTTGTACACACCCACATCGGCACACACCACTGTCCAGTGATGCATTCCATATAACATTCCTAGCGTCTGTAATGGTGTAATAACGCAACCCAGAGAGTTAACTCTTTAACCCCAGCCTTGACCCAGCCTTGACCCCGTCATTTGACCCGTCAACACTTGGGTCTTTGACATCAGAACACAAAAGATCTGACTTACTACACAACACAATTGGACCAGTGGCGTAGGCAAAGGGGGGTTATAAATGTTTGAACCCCTCCTATCACCAATTCCTGGCTACGCCACTGGATTTGACGCAATTGGACCAGCACTGTGTTTTACGTTGGCCGTGAGTTTCAGAAATACTCTGGCATTTACAAAAACACTCCGGCATATACAAAACCCATTCCGGTATATAAAAAACCCAATCCGGCATATACCAAACCCATTCCGGTATATAAAAAACCCATTCGGGCATATCCCAAACCCATTCCGGCATATCCCAAACCCATTCCGGCATATCCCAAACCCATTCCGGCATATCCCAAACCCATTCCGGCATATCCCAAACCCATTCCGGCATATCCCAAACCCATTCCGGCATATCCCAAACCCATTCCGGCATATCCCAAACCCATTCCGGCATATCCCAAACCCATTCCGGCATATCCCAAACCCATTCCGGCATATCCCAAACCCATTCCGGCATATCCCAAACCCATTCCGGCATATCCCAAACCCATTCCGGCATATACCAAACCCATTCCGGCATATACCAAACCCATTCCAGCATATCCCAAACCCATTCCGGCATATACCAAACCCATTCCAGCATATCCCAAACCCATTCCGGCATATCCCAAACCCATTCCGGCATATCCCAAACCCATTCCGGCATATCCCAAACTCATTCCGGCATATACAAAACCCATTCAGGCATATACCACACCCACTCCCAATAACAAGTGGCGGAATGCATCAGCAGCAGACCATGACCACCACCCAGAGCATTACATCATCAGATTCATTCAACCGTGACAGGCAGACAGACCCGTCATTATCTAATCACACTAATTACCTCCACGTTAAAAGTATTGGATTTGTACTCTAGCGCCCATTTTATTACATTGTACTAAATACGATTCGATTACAACAGTACATTGAACTTTCCTATTGGTCGTGATAATATTATTACGTGTTAGTGTAATAAGGGCAGCAGGCTACTATATTTGACCCAAACCTAAATCTTAATTCTCCCCTTAATCTTTTTCAAAATCACTTAGGTTTACGATAACGAAAACACCAACACACTAAGTAGAAAAGTATCGTACTGGATGATTACCGGTGTGCGAATACGTAATCGGTTACAGCCAGAAGGTCAGCGCCTATACAATATTTAGTGTTGACTTCGATTCGTGTAAAAAGCGCCAACAGAACAACATAGTATCGTATGGGTATGTTAAATGTCGATTCCAATGTTAGGGGTAATGAATAGACTTAGGGTTATTATCAGAGTAAGGACATTGATCATGGAGAGATAAGGATTTAGTTTTGGTTAAGAGACAGGTTAGTGACAGGGTGGAGGGTTGCAGAATCTGTAGCGCCGAAAAACGTCCTGCCGATGTTTTGATTATACATTTTACAAAATATATAGATTATACTGTACAGGTCATAATACAATCAATGGGTTCCATGACTAATGATCTCAGATAAAATATACCAGACCAAATATCCCACGGACAAAAGATCTCAGGACATTTGACCTAAGATCTTTTGTCCTGAGATCATTTGTGTTGAGATCATTTGTCCAGAGATATTTTGTTCTGAGATCTTTTGTCCTGAGATCATTTGTGTTGAGATCAGTTGTCCTGTCACCTATCAATGTAGTGGTCTGTATTACTATTTCAAAATATTCCTTCAGTGTTATCTCCCGTGGTGGTATGTACCGCATGGTTACATGGTAGGATACCGGTGGGCGGGGTTTCTCTCCGATAGTTGTCTCTTGGGGAGGGGGGGGGGGAAAGGGGGGGTTGAGACTTTGAAGGGGCAGATTTAAACTTCAGATGGATAAGAGTTGGGGGGGGGGGGAAGGGTAGGACAGGCTGAAGTTTTTGTATATAAACAATGTTTCTTTCGATGGGGGGGGGGGGAGGAGGAGAAAGATGGTAAATGTGCTTTGGGAATGGGTAACGGGAGGGGAAGGCAAAGAGATGCCATATTATCAGTAAATTAAGCCAGTTATGACCTCTTTTGTCTTCCCGAGGACGCCCGAACTCTCCGTTCCAGACCTGATCATCTCTACACGAGTGTGTGTGTGTGTTTGTGTGTATGTGTGTGTGTGTTGGTAGAGGGGAGGTGTAAACATCTCAATTCCATTTCGTTAATCCACCTATGGATACTTATGGCTTCCACTGTCCGCAAAAAAAAAGACAATATAGATAACAATCAAAGCAGCAATTTAAAAATGTGATTTTACAAATGACATCGTAGACACCATTAGCTTTACAAACAAGGCAATACGGTTTGATTTCTATTCAGTAACCCGATAGGCTCCCCACAATAGACAGCATCAAAACTCTGCAATCTCTCGCCGATCAACACATTTTGATGACGTAGTTAACAACCTATCCTCCGATCGCAATCTGTTACGTAATGAAATCTAAATCTTTCATTCATTCCCGTCATTCCGCGCGACTTAACACGCTCCGGTCGATGCCGGTACAGTTATATAATGGCGGCCGGCAATTAACGTGATTGCCGTGTGCCGGTTTCCGGTTAATCGGTTGTTAAATGGTAGATATGACGATACCGTAATGACGTCATATCAAATCAACATGATGAGTGTGACGTAGGTTCTGGCGTCACGTGTTCTACTCAAGCCGGAAGCTGTGACGTCACTTCCGTTATAATAAACACGTGATTCAACATTGGACGCTTGATTTGCTCACCAAGTGTACAAGTTATTGACCGCTCATAGCACGTGCAAGCTTGAAGCTGATAGCAACAACGTTTTTGTTGTAGTTATCACAGCACCACAACATCTGCGTCTGTGTAACTAAGGAAACGGTAATTTACAGCGCTCAACTTTTCTAGAAATTTAAACGTGTATAAAGGGATAATAACAGAGTTGTGAAAGGAATCAGTCAATGTCACTTTCAGACTATTTTTTTCCGGGAAGGCATACGTAAATTTCCGGTAAAAGTACATATGTCCTACACAAGTTGTATGTTTTTCTATTTCGCACCCCCCCCCCCCCCCCCGACGAGTTGCCTGAAAGAAATACAAAGTTCTTCTAAATGGACCATATACATACATATTTCAGCTACCGGAGTGAACTTTTACATCGGTCAGAGAACAAATGATCATCGGAGATCATTTGTCATGCACTCTAAAATCCATTCCCCGGTACAATATATGCAAGAAAACATTCCTCAACCTCTACTTTGCAACATTTTCTTCACCTCTTTGTTGAGTCGAAACGCAACAACGATCTAAAAAAAAGGACCCTGACTTGTATTAGAACCGCGGACCTTCCTGTGTTGATCCCATATAATAGACATATGCAGCCCATCCCACTTGAACCTTAAATTTTG